TTCTAGTGCAGGAGAAAAATTGTATTTCCTGTTTTCATATTTAGGAAATTTCTGATCAACCTCGTTAAACTTAGTGCTAATTAAGCATCTAAGACCTTACCATTCTATTTTACTCTTCTTAATCATAAGCATTAAAACTTCTGTTAGCTTTTACTTGGAGTCTCTGGTTTTAACTTGAAATGGCTTAAAGTAGAAATTTTGTTAGCTTTTTTATATGTTTGGATTTTGTGTATGTTCGGTTTTTAACTTTCAACTTGAGTTTTAAGATCATCAGTCAAAGACTTTTCTTTCAAGTCAGTTGCACTGATCTCAATTGCAGGACTTAGAGGGTCAGCATTTCCCTCATGCTATTAAAAAAGAAAAATTAAGCATAGAAACAGAGTATTTTAGAAATAGAGTATTTGGAAACAGTGAAACAATATTTGGGCTCCACTGATCTACATCTACATTTTGAAATGAACAAATAAATTAGATGTGAAAAATCCAGAAAATGCTCTCTTACTGTCTCCCTGCTTCTTCCTCCTTCACCCTTTCTTTGGACAAAGGTAAATTATCAACCACTATACCAGCAATCTACAAAGAGGCTGATTATAGCTTTACATATTTTAAAATACATTCATTTATTCACACCATCTCTTTGCTCTATTTAAATGTTTTCCTGCATACATTTTCTTTTTCTTTTTGAGGTATTGAGAATGTGCCTCATTTCCCAACATTTTGTAACCCCACTGGACATTATAATCAGCATGCATTTTTGTCTTTCAGGTGGCATTTATTTGTGGAGTGTGTGTATCTGTGTTTGACTGTCAGTTGTTTTAATCTACTAAATACAACTGATTTTTGCTTATGGGTTTCAGTGAAGTAATGAAAACAAAGTATTTGACATCTGAACTGATGGGTGTTGCAGGACCTCATATACCCTCTCACTCCACACCCCAAATCCAGGGGGAATTGGTTTAGCCTTCTCATTATTAATAATCCTTGTTAACTAAATTAAATTTAGTCTTCGAAGTTTTTGCCTCCAGATAGAATTCTATTATAGATAATATTATAATGTAAAATTTTACCAGATTTTTAAGGGAATATCTCAGTTTCAGCAGAACATAATTGACTTTGTCCATATCGGAATAAGTTCCCTTATTGGGCCCTCTGACTTTATGAGAATTCAAATTGGGTGAAGTGAATCCAGAGAAGACTGAAATAAATCTTGAGTTCATTTCTGATTTTCATTTATAAGTACATCCAGAGTTAGGGTTGTTGATTTCATATTTTGGTTCACATTCTGAGATTTGGTTTATCTCCTTGTGGGCAGAGCTTTGTAGATGTTGCTTTTCTCCTGTACTGTGTGATCTGCTGCTTAATATATATGTAACTGAAAGGTTAGCGCAACTACCCACCCTCCACGCTTTCTCCCTGCCCCCTCTGCTCTCACTTCTTCCAACATGAAGTATTGCATATTGTGTTGGGAAGAAAAGCCCTTTTGGAAATTGCCTATTTCATAAATTGTCTGGTGACACAAAGGGGTTGAATGCTGTATTCTTGTCTCATTTATTTTGAAAACTTTGCTACTGAACTCACCTTAATCAATGAGCTCAGTGTTGTCTCCAATAAGTTATGTGTTGGATATATTGATTGGGAGGGATTTTAGAAAACCCGTCTGGGGTTTATAATGTCAGCAGTGTTTTGATTATGAAAAGAGTTGGAACCTGGGGACATGGAACCAGGTGGCGAATGTCCTAAAGCCAGTGGTGACATGGTGGACTGGTTCCCTCCTGGGATCTAGTTCATGCCCTGCACTTTAACTGTGGTGACTGGCTACCATAGATGCACTTTTTGCTCATTAAAATGTTAAAAAATCAAACTGTACATAAAAAGATTTGTGAAAATATAAACTTGGGAATTGATCTGGAGAGCTGGCACAATCTTCCCCACCCCCTGCCTTAGCAATGAGGTCATTTACATTTCATCAGCTGTACTGCATCTCGAAGGCCGATTTATGTGGCAGTTGAGGTTGTACTGAAGCTAGTTGTCTGAAAGAGCTTGGGTAGGCGAGAGAGACAGACAGACAGAGAGGAGGAAACAAGAAAATTGCCTTCCACAAAGAAAGTTCTCTAGCCAGAGACACAGGTTCTAGAGAGAAAAAGGGGTTGCTAACTGGCTAGTGACTGGTTTCCCAGTGAAGTTAATATTGGAAGCCTGGGGGATACTGTCCTATAAGCATAATGCTCAAAATATGTTTAAACCAGGGTTTTTAAAGTCCCCTTTCTCGGAGAGTGGTACTTTTCATATCAAACTAATTGTGTTTTTCTTTGGAATGAGAGGATCAGGTAGTTAAATGTTTATATATAGGGGAGAACATTAGTATTAAGAAAATTGGTTTATTTCATCAGTTTTTGTTTATGGAAAACATAACTTGTTTTCCCCTTCTTCCTGTCCTCCCCTTCCCAAACTGAGAAGTTAATTTTTCAGTTCTGATTGAGATAATGTGTGAATATGCCTAACATAGAGTAATGCTCATTTTTGTTTTCTTCTCTGACAGCACACCACTGTGTTGTTTGACTTAAATTGGAATATCAAGCTCTTGTAATATCACAAACATGAAGAAACATATTGTAATGCACAAACATGTGCCTACATTTGCCTTTATTTCCTTCCCTCCTCCCCTCCCCCATCCCATTGCTTAATTAGACTTACCACTGCTTTCTTGAGTAAAAAGGAAAACTCTTGGGAGGTGGGTTATACTCGGCCTACATTGGGTATTTTGATATTTCTTCTATTATTATCTGACAGACAAGTTCATGGTTGGTTATTACTCTTGACATTAGAAAGTGGTAAGTAGTTTCTATATTGTAGTAAGTAATAAGTTGCTCATATTAGATTTCTCTGACTCCGCTGTAGCCATGGGGGTCCTTTCTTTCAAAAAATCTTGAGGCCTTTTGGCAGCTCAGCTCCAGCATAGAGTAGAGAAGTATTTCTGCACCTGTAACTTTTGAAGGGTAAGGGATAAAATGTCTTTGTAGCTGATGTTGGCAGTGAGTGAGCACAGGGGACTGAGTTTTAAAGAATGCTCGGTACATAAACTGGAGTTAAGCCATGCTTTGTGGTGTTTGAAACTTGATGTGAAAGGACTTTGTAAGGAATTTCATTTTGCGTGTAAATCCTAAGAGCCTTGTTTGTGGGGGGGTTATAATAGATTTTATAATTAAAACTGCAGACATTAAAATGAATATTTTGTATGATCTCTTTGCCAGTATTGGCCTGATAATAACATTATGCATTGAGAAATTGTCATTGTTTTTCTGTTTCCCTGTTACCTATTGCAACGTATTTTAACATGAATTTTAAAACAATATATACACACATACATATATATATAGTCTGACTATGCTGTGTTATGAAATTAACTAATGTATTAGTAATGCCCCCAGGATATGCTGAAGTAGTCTTACTCACCATTTTTCACTTTTCTTTTCCTTTTCTGTTTCATGACATGCCTTAACAGTGCTGTGATATACATCCAGTCCAAAATGATATTAAAAAATAGGATATGCTCAATTGAATTATGTAGGCAGAACATGCTCTGGCAGAGGAAGTCAATGTGCTTTCTGCTTCATTGAGTGGGTTATTAGATTGATGTGGTTTATTTCTTGAATGATAGAACTGGTTTTAAAAATAAATGAAGCGAGAAGCATCAATTCAGTTAGCATTGATAATTCATTATTATTGGTTAGAAAAGTGCTACATTTGTAAACTGATCTTTAATTTATCACTTGGATTAGTATTTGCAATGGGCAGGTTTGTTTTAATTTGAACCAGCTTCTCAATGACTTAAAAATGTGTTCTTCATTTTGTCTTGAAGTTGGGATTTTAAATTGTTAAAAAGCAAATCAAATGCATGAAAGGAATACTTTTTTAAAATTTATAACATTAGTCTATGAACTTATGATAAGCACCAACTGTGGTCTGTCCAAATCTGCAGTTAAAATTAAGTTAGAGAAAATTCTACAAAGGAAATAATAATTACTTGAGTTTCTGTGTTGCAGTGTATATATTCTCTATATGTGCAGTGTATCTATTTGGGAAAGTCATATACCACTTTATATTGTATCTCATATAGTATTCTTAATGTTAGAAGTTTCTCTTTTATGAATACCTCTTTAAAGTGTCTGGTTTTTCTTGTACCCTTTTGCATACTTCCCCTGAATAATGTTTGGTGCTATATACCTACATATTTGTAAAAAGAAATTTAAACTTGTAGTTTGCTTTGGGTTTTTATAAATTGCAAGCAGGTAAGTGTGTACAATTTTGATAATGATATTTAATGATAAAGACTAAAAATACTGCACCCTTAAAATTATTATAGTAGATTACAAAATAAATTCATGCCAGAAAAATAACTTCTTTATGATGTAAATAAATAAAGTAATAATGTAAATAAAGTAAATAATATAAGTAAATAAAGTTTTAAACTCTAAAAAAAATGTAGTTGATAATGTTTGGGGACAATTCTCTTCAAGTTGGTTCTCTATTTTGCTTGTGATTTGGCCTATTGATGTTGAGAAGCGTTGTCTAATCCTGGCCCCCTCTGTTCCTAGGTAACAGGCAAAAATGGTGCCAGCAACAGCGGCCCTGCCAGGCCAAACCCATGTGGCTCAGTGTTATTCACTCTGATCCATATGGTCAGGCTGGAGATAGTCCCTGGAGGGGTGTTAACACTCAGCAACCCACCCGCCTCCCTCCCTTCAGAGCTTTCCTGCACAACTCCTGCTGCTTGCCCATGTGTGATTCTTGATTAATTTTTCATTTTTAATGAAGTTTGATCATGTTTATTATTTCTCATGATTGACTGCCTGGTACTCCTCCCATGTAATTGATAAAGCCCATATTTCTTCATCTGTCTCCTCTTTCTTTAGGGTAAAGTTGCTAGATTGTGTGCCGTGGTTAATGTTAGATTTATTGGTCCCATTAGATGTATAAATTATCTCTCTTTCTCTCCACAGGAAGTTCTACAGACTCTGACCAAGTTTTGTTTCCCCTTCTATGTGGACAGGTAGTATCAGATTTTCAAACTTTACTAGAAAAAAAAAAAGTGTCAATAAACTTGCTATGGAAAATAAAAACCATACCATTCTTAACATTCTGTCTGTTTAACTATGATTTAAAACACCTATGTTCCAAGAAGAGTTACAGTATTCTCCTTTCCTGGGGTTTTTATTGACACTATCAAAAAGTTTAAAGCCTAGAGCTTTGCACTGGTTAGTTTGTGTGATGTAGTTTGCGTGACATTAATTTTAAAATTTTGGTTATCAGACTCAAACCATGATTAAGAATAGTTAGTATTTAATCCAGTTCTATTTAATTTTTATTGAAATATGAATATATTTTACTTAACCAGGTAATATTGCCTTATGAGTATTATATGGACTTTGTTTTAAATTTGTTAGACTTCAACTTTAAATCAACATAGGCCCAACTTGTTCAAAGGTGTTCAGCTATTTAAAAGGCATATTGCCAAATAGTGTCTTGAATTTTGTGTAGCTGGCTAAGAATAGTATCTCTGGGGAAATAAGCATTTTCAATAGATTGCTAAACTAAAAAATAAGTCATCTGAATATTTCCTTAGTATTTGCATTATGATTCACTGTCTCTTGAAGCAGTACAAACATGATAACTTGAAGATAATTAAAATAGTCTTAGGGACTACTTTTGTTTTTGTTTTTAAATAAGCCAGTAGCTTATTTATAAATAGCTTACTTTTAAAACAATCTTAGAAGACTTTTTTTAACTAATAAAACTATCATTTATTAAGTGTTAATAAAATGACAAAACAATCATCTTATTTTCAAGAAATGTCTATATATTTTTCTTTATAGTTTAAGCATTATTTTTGCAGTCATTTGTTTTTTCACTTGATTGCTGCCTATTTGTAATGTTCTCTTCATGGAAAATTGAATTATGAAACTGTATAGTTATGTATTAAAAATTCTACTTTTAGTGATAGAGGTTTTAGAAAATATCATTATAAATAATAAGTGCCATAATCTGTTCCAAGAAAGTTATACAATGTGCCCATCTTCAGGAAGGTTCTGTTGTGTATTTTAGTATACCCAGACAAGGCAGGCCTGAAAGAATTTAGTGATTTGAAGTGCATATGGGCAGTATTCTGCTTGGATATTTTCTACACTTTGTAGTAGCAGTGTCCTGGTTTATTTGGCATAAACCTATGAATGGTGTGAGATGGGAATTGGTAGCCAAAGGAGTCTAAAAGAGTACTAAAAAGCAAAGGAGTACTAAAAAGCAGCTCTGGAATGTTGCCAACCACTTATAATCACTGTTTTCTCTGGTTCTAACATGTTATTTTTTAAGCCAGTCAACCACTGTAGTCTTTCCAGACTCAGGCCTTTTAAAATCCTGGTACCAGGGCTGTTTTAGTAGCAGGTTGATGCTCAGAACAGAATAGCCTTAATTTTAAGAGGGTCAGTCTTTGTAACGAGAGTCCTCTTGTCTCTTCTTTATCCTATTGCTTCTAAAAAAAGCAAGGAAGTAGGGTTTTGTTTAGAGAGGTTTAATGCAAACTTCACATTTGTATGTATGAATTAGCGATCCATGAAATCTCCTCCAGTCGCTTATAAAATGTATTACAAATTATGGCAAGGACATATTTATACAGATTAATAAAGCTGAAATGTTTTAAAAACGTGGCAAGGTGTTTAACAGAGAAAAATAAGAATATATTTTTATATGACTCCTTGTTAGAATGGTGATCTATTTTGGATAGGTATTCCTTAATTGACTTTATAAACTAATATTAGAAGAAATGTGCAATGAGATTAAATCCCTCCAAAGACACACATACACCCCTTCCCTCTCTCTCTCACATCACACACCCATCTTTACTTACCTACCTGTCTGAGTAATTACATTCTAAAATGAAAGGAAAGCAAAGTCCTTAGGTTTTAGTCCTTTAGGACTAAAATCATAGTCCTAAAATTTGTTTTGTCACAGTAATGTCTGATGTCTTTATTTTGTTAGAAAAACATCTTTCTTCTAAAATGCTTTTCTCCAAATTAACCTCCTTTAATTGTGTTCCTCATATTTTTTTTTTTCACAAAAAGATTTGGGACTGAAATGTCTCTTTATGGGTATATTTTAATCTTTACTGTGTGCAGTGGTTCTTTCTTAGATTGTATTGTTTTACCTACCCTGTAGGCATTGATAACTTTCATTGATACAAATAAATCACATTATTTGGGGGACTGTATTTTTTCTTTTCTGTTGCCCCACTTCTAACTGTGGCATACTTCAGTGCAGAGAAGATGATAATAATTAAGTTCAGGTAGGTAGGTTTAGTCGCTAAGTCATGTCCAACTCTGTGACTCCATGACTGTAGCTCACCAGACTCCGCTGTCCATGGGATTTCCCAGGCAAGAATATTGGAGTGGGTTGCCACTTCCTTCTCCAGGGGATCTTGCTGACCCAGGAGTCAAACCCAAGTCTCCTGCATTGCAGGCAGACTCTTTACTGACTGAGTCAATTAAGTTTATTTACAAAAAACAAAAGTTTTAATGTCACTGTTTTTTATTAGCTTGCAGTTAGCACTGTCAAATGAATATGTCCAGATTCCAAGACCCATGAAACCCCAGATGTATTTATGATATTGTTTGACTTAGAAAATATGTTGGCATGGGAGATAAATAATGCTCCAGGTGATTATTTTCAAAAAAGAAATCTTCCTAATCTTTTCAGTATCTGTACTTTTCTACTTCAAAGAACAGTAATACAACTTTCTGATATTTCTGGTATATATCAAGAGTGGGATTTTCACAGTCATCATCAAATCATCCGTTAACATTGACATCTTGCTGTCTCATCTGTTGTTTTAAGATTTTTCTCTCTGAAGCTAGGAGTTATGAAAAATAATAATGCTGGTAGCTCTTAAAAAGAAAGTGTTTTCTCGTGTATTATCTCATTTTATCCTCCTGTCATAAAAGATGAGAACAAGTGCTGTTTTCTTCACTGGAAGAAATCTGAGTTGTAGAGAAATTGTGACTTACCCAAGGATTGCTTAGGCTGTTAGCACAGTTTAGATGTCCACCTCCAAAAATGAGTACATTTTTTTAGTAGACCACTTTGTGGGAAGACCAGTCACCAAGTAGAGGGAGGGAAAGAAGGGAATTAGTATTTCAGTTCTTAAATGATTCTAGTCAATGTTCTGGACACTTTTACAGTAATACCTCGTTTATTCTTCACAGCAACTCTTAGTGATAGATGGTGGTGGTATCTCTTTAAAAAAGAACCAAGGAAGGTTCAGAATGTGTAGCATTACGTTGGGTGTTATGGAAATGGTATCATACTCTTCACATGTTTCTCAGTCTAGTCCAGAAAGTTTTATAAAGACACAGTGAACAATATCTAAAAGGGTAGTGAGGTTGGGAAAGACGGAGATGGTCAAAGAAAATATTGTATAGAGAGTGAGGCTTATATTGAGACTGCAAGGACAGCAAGAAGGGGGTAAATGGGATCCCAATACTGAAGAGCAAAGTAGAGGAGAAACTATGAATGAGCCTAGAGATCTAGAGATCATTTGACCCGAGCAGGTGGAGCCTCCTACTGAGAGGATACCGTGTGTGTCCGGAGAGCTTGGACTCTCACAACAAGGGGGTCTTGAAAATGTGTGGGAATGAGACCACAGGACTTTAAAGCTGAAATTCATCTGACTCAAGCATCCTGTTTTACAGAAGGGAAAGTAAGATCTGTAGAGGTGAAATGCCTTGCTTATATCGCAACTATGTAATTACAGAGCTGGGAGAATAAAAAGCAGTAATCTTATTCCCAAGCCAAAGTTATGTCTACCCTACACTATACTTGAAGCTCTTGATGGAAAGAAACAGTGAAGTGACAGTGCTGAGATCCTTGTATCACTCTCAAAAATTTTTTATTATTATTTATGAAAGCAGTCTCTTAGAGGTTTGAATACCACTTCGTATTGTGGGGCTGCTTACTTGCTCTTGATAGCTGGCAACCTGCTTCAGTTGGTCAGAGCACTCAGGAGACTCATCGGCTGATGGAAAAGCTATTCTTCCCCATGTTTGTGCTTGTCTTCTTTCAGAACCCGTAAAACCAGCTACCATTCAGTCGTCCTATTAATTATACTAGTACACACAACTGACACGAGCATGATGTGAAATGACAGTCTTTTCAAGGGCGGAGGCAGCATTTAATGATTTAGGATGTAATCACAGGTGCAAATGTGGTTCTAATGCTATTTAACCTTTTCTTACGTATCTGTTATGTGCCATGAATTGTGTTGTGTTCTTTTCCTTCACTAAAGGCTTACACATCTAAATGTTGCCTTACAACTAAAGGCGACATTGCCATGGTCATAAAGCCACATATGAGAAAACAGAGGCTCAGATAGGTTCATTAATGTGCCCAAGGTCCCACCATTGGTAAGTGGTAGAGCTGTTTTTGAAACCCACATTTGTATGACTTCCATTTCCATCATACTTGTTCTATATCATACTGCCACCATTAGATCCATCACACCACAAATTAACCAAGCATTCTTAACATTTATTTCAAAAGCAATATATATTTATTGTGAAAAAGTAGAAAGTTCAGATAACTGAAGACAATTAAACCCATTTTTGTGCAGATAATTGAAAGAAGATGAAACTGAGGCACTTGATTTGTACATTAGTATGTGTCTGCTCAGACCTCTCTTCTTGCTTCCACTTCTGTACATTCATCCTGCTGTACTTTTCAAAACTGAATCCATTTGGCCACCTTCATCCTTTGTTTTCCATCCTTGGTTTAGTCCCTTGGTTTAGCTTGAACTATTGGTTAATCTATGCCCGTGACCATTTTGTATAGCATTCTAGAACCATGGAGCAATTGGGGTTTAGTGGACAGGGCATCAGGGGTAGCAACTAGGAGACCTCAGTTATAGTTTTCATCCTGTCATTGACTTGCTCTGTTCTGTTAGGCGAGTGACTTCTCCCATGAGCACCTTAGTTTCTTTGTGGATGAAATGAGGGAATTGAACTAGAT